ACAGTAGCTGAAAAAATTAGGAGCCCTCAGAACCAGAAATATTCATACCTGCCCGAAGATCCCACAGTACCTGACTGGCAAGAAAATGTACTACAGATTGTGGATATGTGCGATGTGAGCTCCAGCAAGAGGGAGAGGTACTGGCCCTTTCTGTCACACTTCCAGGGTTCAGGGAACACCTAAGGGGCTCACTATACATCCCAGAGCTGGCACACTGTGGGTGCAGAGAAAGCTTGGGCACTTCTGCTCTCCTTCAACCTTGCTTTCCTCATTTGCCTTTGAATTCAATAATGAATAGTAAACTCAAGAGGCCAGTTTCTCATCTCAAAGCCATTCCACAGGTCAGGGGGAAAAGGCTGGTGGGCTACTGCCCCATGAATACAGTCCTCTATTGGCAAAAAAATGGGACCATTTGAGAAATGGAACATTGGAGAAACCATCATTTCTTATGTAAGTGTCTGTCAAAAATGCTTGGAAGAAAAGCATCTGCTCATTGGTGTGCCAAGAAGAGCCGTAAGCTGAGGGCTCCGCATCTTCACAGTATCAAAGTGTTTTCTCATGTCCAGAGGGAACATCCTGTATTGCAATATGTGAAAGCACAAACAGGGAGGCAGGCTAGTGATGCCTACTGTTTTTTGCAGCAGTATACCAAAGGGCCTCCAACAGTCCTGATACCCTGTTGATGTGTGTCCTTTGTTTTCTGGAGAAAAGATGTGTAACAGAGGAAGAAGCAAGATACCCTCAGTTGTCCCAGCAACTATTAAACCAGGAAACAGCCCGAGACATTGGGCTGCCTATCTATTGCAGGCTTCAAAGACAAAATGGGAATAGTCATGACACCAGGCCTACCATGAAGCACAAATGCAGTGAGTGAAAAGTACTTTTTGTGTGTGATGTATTTTGTTCCTTAAGTCCTGTGGTGACATCATGGCAGCACAAATATAAAGGCTCCTTCCTCTTCTCCTCTCCCAGTCAATTTCCCAAATAGGGAGAAATCAGGGGGTTTGAGTCTGGGTGACTTCTAAGTCACCTGCAGCAGTTCTCTCAATTTCATATCAACATCCAATTCTGCTTCAGAAATGTGCTCTATAACAAATACTTGAGATAGGGAGTACAAATTCTCTGACTCAGAGTACAGTTTCTATCAAAGCTGTCTGTGTTCATAGTCCTTGAAAAAAGCCACAATATTTCTTCATCAGTCACATGGCTGGCTAAAGGAGTTAAGACACTTCTCTAACCATACTGCCTGTGGATGTCTGGAAACAGAATTTTAAAACTGCTCATTTGCAGATGTGTCCCTGTCCCTGGCTAAACTAGATTCTACCACACCCAGGGATTTGCAGCAAACTGCATAGGTTCAGTCTAGAGTATTTCCTGTCTTTCCATATAGATTTCTTAGCAATAAGTAATGTGGAAAAATATGTGAAACAAAAGGGCAAAAAATCCCTTTTATACATTACATTAGAAACTTTGTTTCAGGTGCTGCTGTTGTGATCTACTTTCAGAGTGTTTCAAGTTATTAAGTACAGGAGAAACAGGAAGAGAGACATAGGATCAGAAACAGATGAAACAAAAATGAACCAAACCTCCGACTGAGTAATATTGTCCCTTTCCCTGTTCAGCAGTGCAGTACTGTCTACGTCTATCTTAGCAGAAATGCAGACTGAACTACACAGTCCCTTCTGGGAAAATGACCTGAGACCACTGGCCTGGTGGTCCAGTACCAAGACTGGATCAATCTTTTCTAGGCTGTGTACTAGCAAGTACTTTGGAAATTACCTCATTTATCTCTGCAGCAAATATTTTTCAGTCAGTGACCAGTTTTCCATAATGAGGCTGTTCCTAGTTTGTGTCTTTAGCTGCGTATTGTGGCAGTAACTGTTGCACTAACTCACGAGCAACACCAGTTAGCCACTCTGCTTTAATATAAACCAGATGCCTGTGGAGAGTTTAAAATGCTAATTCCTTTATGAAGATTGTTGTTCACTTCTTTTTACTGTGTACACCATGAAAGGTATTCATGCTCATAAAGGTCATCATCAGCTTCATTGCAGAGAGTAAGAAGGGCTGCATGGCCTTCAGAGGAATCACAGCATGGGTTTGGTACAGGCTGTAGCTTTGCAGCTTTGTGACAAACTCTGGGATTAGGTAAGTGGCTTTGCAGGACAAGATAGTAAGAGTGAATGCTAGACAAAGTGGAGATAAATTCCACAGAATCTGAGTCTACAAGCAATAGTAGTACACCTCAGTGTCTTATACCAAAGCTGTTCCTCTTCCTTTTCATCAGCTGGGCAGGAAAGGCAGAGAAGACTGCTGCTGGGAGATAATAAGCTCTACAATGTAGGCAAACCAGAAACAGGCATTTCACACACCCTCTATTGTCCACAAGTGAATTCTCCATGTCATATCTGACCTTTCTTCTCACTACTTTGATTTCAAACATAACTACCCCTTTATATCAGAATGAATAGACTCTGTAAAAGACTGAAGAAATGAAATGCAGATAGTTTACTAGTCTTTGAGGCTGTACACCACTAAGTGATAGCCTTTTATTATAAAAATTTGAAAAAGCACATTTTTTTAATGTACATCAAAGTTTTATGAAATTCTACTTAAAGACCATTTGTACAACAAACATTAAAAAAAACTGTCTAAACAAGAATTGGGATTTTTTTGTTGTTGTTGTTGTTTGTTTTGTTTTGTTTTTATTTTTCCCCCAGCCTAAAGGCACCATTTTGTAATGATGTAGCATTACATATAAAGCTACAGAGTATGTCAGATCATACAGTCAAGCCTTCAAAAACCAGGAAATAACTAAATTCAGGCTGGTGTAAATAACTAAATTGGCAGCTGTTTCTGGAAAACAATGATGAAAAGTTTGAGACCAGGTGCTTTGTTGATGCCAGGCTGCTTGAACGCAGCCTCCCACAGGGATGAGTAACTGCATTGAGCTGAACAGATTCATCACCCACTCTAACTTCTTCCTATCATATACCGCTCATGTGCAGAATTAAATCTTAGTGATATTTTTTTTAAATACATGGGAAAATATGGCAGTACATAATTTGGATGATTGTATTGAAGTATGAATATTATGAATATTATGAATATTATGAATATTATGAATATTATGAATAAAAAGTTATGGGGTACAAAAGACATTACTAAGGGTTTTGCTATTGCTCTGCTTTTGAGCTAATCAAAACAAAGAGAAAGAATTTAGTAAACTCTCATGTTCCAGACAGTTTTGTACTACAATCAGTGATAAATATATCTTCAAAGATATTGACACGAATATTTGGAAGCAGTGTTAGTGACACAGTGAAGTGTGTTGCTCTTCTGTTTTCTCACTTAAGGCAGGAACCGCATGTCTTTTTAGAGCGACATGCAAGACCAATTCAGTAGCACAATGCTAGAAGATAGAAAACACAAAAAAAACCTCCATCAAAAGGAGAGTTGATGTAAATCTTGGGTAATCAGAAGTCAAAAAATACCCTGAACATAGTTATCTCTATGTCCTGCTTCACTTTGCTGTGGATGTGCACATCAACAAAAACCACCCCATCCACTCTGTAACTGAAGGCCTAGGCTTTTTTCCCCTGGCTGCAGCCTCCTTTCAAATCCCATGCACTCCTCCAAGAATGCAGGTGTGGAAGTGTCCCAGTGTGTCAAATATGCTGTATATTCTTCTGTACATCAGGTATAATGATTCACAATGAGCCACTTCAACAAATAATCAACCCTCAACCTTTGCCAAGGGTTACCATTCGACCTTTGTTGAAAGTGTTACCTTTCTTTTATTTTTCCATTATAGATATTTGCATTTGTAGATGTTCTGAGAGTTGTCACTACAATGTAGTAACAGTTACTCACTGTTTAAAATCGTAGTATATACCACTGGCTTTGTGGCTCCCCATAAAGAAAAATTTTCATTTTAACTGAACTCTGTGGACTCTTAACAGCATTTTTGCACACTGAACAGCACATAAAACATCCTAGTGTTAAAAGGCTGCGAAGTCTCCAGATCTATGCATAGCTTTAGTTTAAAAGTTTGAAAGAATAATCAGCACCCCATATGGTTTTCTGTTCCCACAATTGACAGTCATACCTTGAAACACCCTTCAGATCTAGTCAGCAATTATGTCTCCTCCCTTTTCTGTATTTGGTTTAGAACCAGTACAGGAGAGGCAGATTACCAAAACTAACACTATATTGCAAATGTCAGCTTCATAAAGACTCTTTTCATCTGCAGCTAGGTCAAGAGAACTGCAACATCATCTAATTTGATCTTTGCACTGCCAGCTATAATGGAAGGCTATTTTCCAATGAATTGTGACAGCAGCAGCTGTATACAAAATTGGAGTTTCTTTCCAAATAGTAATACTGCTTAATTGTTGTCTGCTGCAGAAGAACTAGGCAGGATTCCTCGCATACTTCTTGTCTACATAATGGGGAGAGGCAAATGCATCCAGACATTTCAGACCAGGTTCTTCACAAGTTTTTTGCTAATGTGGTTCTTAAAACTGAGTTTTTTCTCTCTACAGCCCCACTTCATTAGAGGTGATGGGCAAGAGTACACTTTAGGTCCTCTGTAGGGCTGTACAATTTTTCTGCATTGATTACCCGATAAAATGGGTTCCCTTGTTGCTATATAGAAGTAGAGGAACGCTAAACACAAGGATGACTTCTCTCTGCAATGCAGTTTTCCAGCAGTTGTTTCATCTGCACATTTAGGACAGATTTCTATCCTGAACACATATCTCAAATGCTATGGACATGCTCAGAATCTAAGCATCTAGGCCTCTGAATACAGCAAATCTGCAAATTTATAAATGGTCCACACACTCCAGATGCGCAGCTATATTTTTTGCTCCTTTGTCTACCATATTTTGTTGAAAAGTTGTCCTTGCCGTATAAAGCTTTGAGAATTTGAAGGGTTCTGTGCTAGCAGACTGAGAAGTCTTAACTTCTAAAATTTCAAAATGCTTTTGTGCCAACAGGTCCTTCAGAGAAGACAATGCAGTCTGTTTCTCAACACCTTGTCCTTGAGGCATTGGGAAACCATTCCAAACAACACTTTCAGCTGTATATCAGCAGGATGTCCTAGTAGAGAAGAAGGTATGGATACATTAAACCACCAGAAAAAGAATAATCAGCACGCCATACTGTTTTCTGTTCCTAGAATTGACAGTCATGCCTGGGAAAATGTGTTTCAGATCTATTCAGACCGTTGCCAGACCGTGTTGTGAAAGCAAACTCTCTTGTTAAAAGACGGCTGGGGGCGCTGTTCTTTCCACAAAGGCACACATAAGTTCCACCACTCTTGGTGCAAATTAAACATCTAAGAGCCTGTTTGAATATGGGGCTGAGCATAAAATTATTTGACAAATGATGTCAGTACAAACTAGTTACTGTCACAGTAGGCCCCTATTAAGAAACAAAAATATCTTCAGTCCTATACTGAATATTCAGAAAAATCTGATCATTGCTTTTAAAATTGTGATGTGTGACTCTTTTACACCTTAACACTGCTCTATTATGAATTGTTCTTTATGAAAAAGATACTAATTGGTCATTCACAGTCAGTGTTTGCATATTCTTAATAACCTGGCTTTAATTCACAGGGTTTATGTAATCACTGTTAGATAAAAGAAACAAATAATTCAAGTAACATTTAGTCTACTGACAACATCTAAAATCTAGTGCTTACTCAATTTACTGGACTCTAAATCTATAAAATGGCAGGTAACTTGATTTTCATTACCTGATATTACTTTCTTTCCTGATGTATTTTCACTTACAGTATTCATTTCACATAATTTGTTTTGTTCCCATATACAGTCTTATTACCTTTCATTATTACTAAATCATCCACCTACAGATCAGCGCCTACTCAGTGCAAGCTCTCACTCCACAGCAAACCATTCCTCTGCTATCATTGCATTGGGATGTTATGTGGTCATCATTTCTCCAGCTCAAAAAAACCCAGGTTTTCCTCCCTTCTCTTCTCAATTCTTCCGATGTTGTATCAAGAATGATACTCTGCATGTTAGCCCCAGTTATTCAATCTGTACTTTAAGAAAATCCCCACACAAACAGCTTTGCAGGAAACTAGCAGTATTTTCTCCTGCTTTTCTGCCCTGCATTTCACCCCTTTGCAGAACGGTGTGGTTTAGCCCTCTTCCTAAAATGGGACTTTGAAGGTAAGTGTCATAGACCAGCCTGCTGTGCCAAGTCTGCCTGCACAAACAGAATGAAAGACAAAAAGACTGGTTGTGGTCCTCAGCCATGGCCGAGAGCCTGATATTATCTGCATTCAGAGAAATCCCACCAAAAGACTCGCTCCCAAGGTGTAGCTTAGTTTCACAGCATAAATTCAGTCACCAATTTTGTTGTACTACTCTGCATCAGTAGTAGAAAGTGTTTCTTATCAGTCTTTTCTAGCAGTGGAAGCTACATGAGCCAGTCATGGATGATAGCATCCCCCCTGAGCAGCAGACAATCCTTCCAGCAGCACAGAGAGTAAACTAAAAAAAATATATATACGTGAGGGTGTTTGATTGACAACACTATTCAAAAAATCAGTGATATTTGCCCCTCATGTACAGAAAACAGGAAAAATACTATCAATTAACCAATTAGAAAGAAAGATTTCTAAGTGACCTAACTTGCAGATATATTTCTTTCCATGTGGGCAATACAGTTTTGAAATTATGATTTAATCTTATTTAAGTGATAATAACATGAATTATAGTGAACATTCTGTACACAAAAGAAAAATTTATAAGACAAAATTGTTCTGCAAAGTAGGACAGAGTAGGATGAAGCAAAGCTCTGCTATTAGTTTTGCAAACTACCTGAAGAATTCTATTTACTTCACTTTCCTTCACTGAAAAAACTTTAAAGATATAAATTCCTACAAACTGGGGTTCTGCATGTTTATACTGAAGAAGGATTATTGAATGTCTAAGTGATCTGAGTTTATAATTTCAACAAAAATAATTGTTACTTAATAAAAAAGAGGGAAAGACACAAGGAGTGGCTGAGGTCACTTGCTCTGTTCAGTCTGGAGGGGACTAAGGGGAGACCTCATTGCAGTCCTCCCCCTTTAAGGGAAGAGGAGGGGAGGCACAGATGTTTTCTCTGTGGTGAGAGTGACAGGAGCTGTGGGAATGGCCTGGAGTTGTGTCAAGGGAGGTTTAGGTTGAATATCAGGAAAAGGTTCTTCGCACAGATGGTGGTTGGGCACTAGAACAGGGTCTCCAGGGAAGTGGTCACAGCACCAAGCCTGGCAGTGTTCAAGAAGTTTGGCTAACGCCCTCACACACATGGTGTGATTCTTGCAATATCCTGTGCAGGGCCAGGAGTTGGACTCGATGATCCTTGTGGACCTCTTCCAGCTCAGGACATTATATGATCCTGTGAAAAAAAAAAAAAAACTTCAAATTCAAGGAAAATGCTTAAAGTTCTTGGAGGACAAAAAAATTAACGCAGTTCTAGGATCACAATAATTACCCTGTCTAAAGGTAAAACACTAAGGTGATGCCACATGCCTAGGAGCCTCCTCTTTGCAGCAAAAATCAGAGAAAATAAGAGGATGCAATGAACACATTAAAAACCAAAAAATTCAATTATTTCAATGACTAATGAAATTTCTTTCTTAACTATATGTGTCATACATTATTTCCTCAGCAGGGTTTTTATGTTTTCTGTCTCATTTGACTTGCAGGAATTTTACATCTTGAGACTGTCTTTGCGTATAACTAAGGATTCTCACAGTGCAAAAGTTATTCCAAGAGAGGGAAGCAAACATACACAGACACACACAAACTCATTCACAGATAAGACTGCAGGATCAGATAAGCCTCTTCCTCTGGGAAACAGAGTAACTAAAAGTGTTCTTATGATAAATTCTACAGACACTTTTTTAATTAAATTAAACACATGAACTTTTATAACCTGATTTGAACAAAAATTAGTCCACTTGTCATCTGACAACTGTTTAGTAGACTCCAGCCCCATTCCTAATGAATGGTGACCCATCATAGATACCCTGTAAATAATCATGTCACAGAAAACAGAAAATTAATGCTGTGAAAATTCAGCTTCCCTTTGCCCCAAAACATCAGACAGCGCAGGACTGCTTATATTGGTTGATGTATGTTTTTTTTGTTGTAGCTTGAAGGCTTCAGTTTCCACATCCATCTGCATAGTACCTTTCATGAGAACTGATGCAGAATAAAAGAAAACTTGCATTCATTTTTGAGCAAAATAACCGCTCACCATCTAAATAATATCCGATCAGAAGCAGATAGAAAGAATGAACAGCAATATATGAGAAGCAAAGGGAGAAAATGTGCCTACTTCCATGATTCCCCTCTTCCATCCTTTGCACTAGCACTGCCTAGTATGTCAGAATAAAGCTTTGTCCTTGCACTACTCTGGTACTCATATAAAGTCCCTGTGATGACAAACATTGCGTATCTGTGCTTTTAAAGTTGCACTTTAAAAAATGAACTCTGCTAGACAAAACATTACAGTCTTTTTTAGATTGCCTCAACATCTCTCCTTCCACCTGTCTTCTCACATTGTTATCATCAACATCAGCAGATCATTGCTGGCACATGTGCAATTATCTGATTTATTGTCAGAGACCAACCCTACTTTCAGGTTTTTCTACTGAGAAACCAGATCATTATCAAAATGTGTTTTTATGGATGAGAGCCAACCAACACCAAACCCAAAAAAGATGACAAGTTAAAAACAGAACAATAGAAACAAGAGACTGGAAGGTAATGCAACTGCATGCTTAAGAGCAGGAGAGTTCACAGGAGTGGGAGGTAAATTAAATTCCATAATGCTTCTAGTAATGGCAATAATTAGAGACAGGATATGAGACTAACCTCCACTCTGACCCAGAATGGTAATACCAGTTTTTTAACACAACCACTGACAGATAGATGTAGGCAGGGATTTATTTCTACCAAGGAATGAAACAACACACAGCAAGACTGATCACTAAACTATGACCATGGAGCTGATCACTATAACGGTAAATTTAGAATAACAAGAAGGGAAACAACATGAGCCCTAATGAATACAGATGGGTATATTCAGTAAAAGGGATGATGCTGTAAAACAAACATTTGTTCTGAACATTATAAAGTTCATCATAAATTAGGTTCTGTCAAGATTGAAATGAAAATCTGAAGTAGCTAGTTCTTTGCACAGTGAAATGATAAAAGTGTGACCAGGTCACTTATGTTCTTCAGTAAATTTGTAGAGACATGTATTTGCAATTAGCCCTGCATCCCAGACACTTACAGTTCTTAAGGCTGTTTCCATAGACAGCAATGTCTGCTTCGACCCTGTCAGGTTCTGTCCTGCAGGCTACAGCTGCCACTGAGCCAGGGAGGCATTGCTTCAGCCTGTGAAGAAGCAGCAGAACAAGCTGCTCTGTAGGAGACATGGGTCATCCAGAGATGCCCTTGGCACACACAAATTATGGTAAGTGTCAGGACTCTGATATACATGGAAAAGCAAGGAATCAAAGTCAAGTGAAAACTAATCCTGGAAGCTACTGGATTGACTAAGCCACTCTAGTAAAACTCTTGTCAGGTTACATGGCATAACTATAATTAACAATTTTGGAAGTACATGATTTACTACCATTTGAAGATACAGATATGTAAACTAACTGAATCTGTAGAAACTATGACTTTCCTTTTTAGTGATAAGTGCATAAATTTCTTTCATTATCCCACTTAAACACATAAGTAGCAATAAAAAAGGATCCTTTATCTTAGATCCACCCTTCCATATACTTTGAAACACAGTGGTTTTTCAAGTGTCATTCCTTTGCCTCATAGACTCAGAGGCTGAATTCATCCCTGGATAAGCTTGCTGCATGACATCTTGTGAGGTATCCGCTCCATGATACCAGATGTTTAATAGTGTCCTATGAGAGGATTTGGATTCATGGATTTCTGTCTGCATCCTAGTTACTTGTTAAACAGTGCTTACAAATACAACATTTCTTCCATAGGACAAGAATTCCTCACTAAATCACAGCATTCAGGAAAAGAAAGTTAACTGTAATTTACTCACAGTTAATAAAGAGTTTAAATATTTTGGTTCCTTCAGTTGCATGTGCCCAAAATATGCTTATTGTTTCCTTCCATTTTCTTTCTTTTAAAATACCTCATCATTTTGCTTAATGCAATTGCACTTTGCTGACACTCTTCACTGAGTAAAAAAAACATCTGGATGAGCAGGCCCAGAGAGTGGTGATGAATGAAGTTAAATTCTGTTGATGTCTGGTGGGATTCTCCAGGGCTCAGTATTAGGCCCAGTTCTGTTTAATTTATTTGCTGACAATATGTACGAAGAGATTGAGTGCAATTTGCAGGCAATTTACAGGCAAGTTGGGTGGGAGTGCTGATCTGCTGGAGGGCAGGAAGGCTCTGCAGAGGGATCTCCACAGGCTGGATCATGGCCAAGGCCAGTGGTGTGAGGTACAACAAGGCCAGGGCTGGTCCTGCCCTTGGGTCACAGCAACCCCAGGCAGTGCCACAGGCTGGGGTGACAGCAACTGAACATGAGTCAGGGTGTGCTCAGGTGGCCAAGAGGCCAATGGCAATCTGCTTTTTCAAGCAGTTCCTTTTCTCCACAGCAAGCACTTGATATAGTCAGAAAATTACATATATTACAGTTCATTTATATTAAGAGAATGTATGAGGAAAACTCTCAAAAGCTTCTTTAGTGTTTGTTCTTTTCCCTTTCCTTTCCCACCATCTCCACCAAATAATGTT